ACATAGAAACGAAAAAGTACACTGTCGATATCATCAATCGCTATACACATATCGAAATACGCTTTTACGATTGCAAGGAAACTTGTTTACAAATTCGTAAGTGAATCATAGAAGCTATTGAAAAAAGCAGCAAAGATCTCAAAGTTGACGATGATTATATTTTTGCATTCAAATGCTCCATGGATGAACAATGTTACTGCATTGTCCACAATAAATCTTCTGCCAGTTGTACTCATTGCCGATCGCAATGTAAAGTATTAGAAAGTGATGATAGCTACAGATGTTGGTTTAGGGATCAATTGGCCAGCTCTGCAGGTTAGTTCCATACTCCACATAACTATGATGACAAATTTAATATGAAATTTATCTGGAAATTACTATTTACATGTATATGTTTTTACTTTTGCATTACCTTTGCCTGCTATTATTATTACTATTATTACTACCTTTTGCAAAGTATTTTTGTGTAAAAATAATTTATCAAATAATTTATAAAAATAATTTATCAAAGTAATAATATTTATCACTTGTGTATAGGACCTGCTGAGAATGACAAGGGAACACAAATAAAACTAGATAATGATCAGTCACCAGATGAAAGTAAGAAACTATTGTTATTATTATTATTATTATTATTATTATTATTATACTTTTACACAGGCCCCCTATTAGTCAAGAAGCCAGAAACAGATGATCTCATGAAGTTATTTATTGATTCTGCTGCCCATTATATGATAATTGGCATTGGATTGTCTGTCAATGTGACTGACCTCACTCCTCTTCCTCATCTAACCATACTCAATCTCATTCAAGTGTTCCAGAGGTGGAGTGACTCCAATAATGATGTCACTTGGGCTAAGATTCTAAAAGTCTGTCAAGATTTCCCTAATCAGCTTGGAAAAGCAGAAGCTGACATCAACAAGTTCCTTTTGTCACCTGAAGCTCGTGATAAGTATTTAAAATGATTCATTTTTATGCATTTTGCCTTATCTTCCACATTGACTATTACTATAACATTGATTATCGTTACTATTATCATTATTATTAATCTGATGTGGAGAGATTCCTGTCATCAGATAGAGCCTGTAGAAAATATAAATAACAATGAAAATATAAATAACAATGCATTGCCATTGACTTTTAATTGAATTCATACATACGTAATACTTTAATGCACTATACATGACATGCATACATTATACTGATCGATATTGTTACTGTGACTATTAGTATTAGTATTATTTTGGTATTATTATTTATTGCATTGTGTAATTATTGCTTTATTCTTCTGTTTTTGTATTTTTATATTTTTTGTATTTACTGGTAAAAAAATTAACAAAAAAATTTCTTTTCAGTTGAAATCAGCTAAAACTTTTTACGCAGCATAAGGACATCAATAATTATGTATCAGAAAATGTAATAAAAATTTGGAGTGACTTTGGAGTCATATTTAGAAAAACCCAATGATACCCTCTCCAACAACCTTTATCTCTCTACCAGGATATATAACATCAGTTATTAGTTTTGTTATGAGCCTATTGTCCAGTGATTATAACTAAGATATGTACATGTACATGTAATTATTGCGGTCCTGCATCAGTCCATGTGTTCTGTTACATTCCTATTATTGCCAAAATTAAAAAAGCTTGAAAAAATACTAAATAGCTGGTAAGCATGTACATTATGGTGGAAACTAGCAATCAGAAGGTCAATATCATAATCAATCTATGCTTGCTGCTAGCCTGCAATAGGCCTTGGCGGATTATGCCAGCATAATTTTGAGCATAATAGGACCCATAAGCATAAGCATAATGTAAGCATAATAGAGCTATAAAAGAAAATTTTGAAAAAATGCATTGAGAAATGCAATAAACAGGCACTTGCACTCAATAAATTAACTGTTTTTATGTTTAAACAGCTACTATTGCTCACAATACACTTTAAGAAC